AATGTGCACGATAGAAGAGTGGAGCTTACACTGAATTTGTTGAAAACTCTACCTGACACAGAAGTAACAGGAAATTTGAACTTCTGAGATATCAGTATCTTGATTTATGTGCTAATAAAAAAAGGACATAGTATATGCTTTTTTCTTTCAGCTTTTGTGCTATTCTTATTTCCTGATAAATGCTGGTCTTGGATGTTTTGCTCCATGTTAGAAAGAATGATTTGATAGCCTTGAATTAAAATGCTTTGCTTTATGGAAATTGGCTGCCTGTTGGATGAATGTCCAAAACAATAACTGTAAAGGAAGGTGTTTACCATATGTGCCTTTAAAATTACATGGAGAAACTGTATATGTAAAGCCATTGCTATTTTGTAACCCATTTAGAGGTTGAAGGGAGTGAAGTAAGGCACGTTCTTCAGCTGTTTGTGCATTTCATTCACATTCATCCATCAGTTGTCTTTGCGTTCACCTATTTTTACAGGCAGTTTTTGCTCATTGGTAGAACATGGAAAGAGAGTTTGTGACTGAAAATACTCAGTGATGAAAATGGTCTCTGTAGTTGAGTCATGACCTGGATGAGCCACGTGTTACCTTGTGGAAGAGTGAGGAAGCATAAATTTAGAGTATTGGGAGAGCACTTTTTTCAGCTTGATTAGAAACAAAAGCAACAAAGTAATTATTCCTGAATAAAAGCTGGCTGTGGGAATGAGAAGATTCAGAGGTGATGTTTATTTTGCAAAAATTCCTCAGGTGTTTTCATTTTGTTACATGTCAGGTTTGGATCTATTTTCAGACAAGCCTTTGCAAGTTAGGAGGGGATTGAGTCTAAGTCCCATTCCTCTGTTGGCTAGCCCCTGAGTTCATTTTCACCTTTCTCAGCTACTTCCAGGTTGCATTGCCTATGGACCACTTTGTTACTCAGATACAGTGCAGTCTTGGGGAAGTTCTGTCTGCAGGGTTTGGGATCAAGACTTTGTCAGTGGAAATTGCAGAATTTCAATTCAATATGATTCCAGTATTCCCCTGATCATCATAATCTTGTAAGTGTTTGCGAACACTTTGCTTTAAGACTCTGTGTTTTTACATATTTTATATATGTGTATATATAAAAGTGGAGCCAAGAGTTGGGAGATTTTTCATGTTCTAACATGATTTTTTGTTTTTGCTGCAAATGTCAAATGAGTTTAGCTTGTGTTTTGTTTTTGCTGATTTGAATGCATGAAGACATGGTACCTAAATTTAGGGCAGCAGAGGAGTTGCCAATCAGTAACAAAGATGCTCTGTCATTTTAACTGTGTGGGTGCTTAATCATTTTCCATAATAATCCTCTGCTTTAAAGTACAAAAGGAAAGGGATTTCTATGGGGTATTATACTGTTCTGCAGACAAGGAAATATGGCATCTTTTAAATAATGGAGAGATGCTTCTTTCCTTTGATGTCTTAATTCTGAGTTGATAGATTTTAATGACTGTTCCTACTTAAATACTTCTCCTCTTTTGACCTCAGAACAATTTCAAAAGACAATAATGTCACAGAAACAGAAGCTGAGGCATAAAATTTGAAATGCTTCAACAAAGGTAACCCAGCATGTCCACAGTGGAGCCAAGAATAGGATTTCCATCTCCCGAGTTCCAGGCTAAGGCTCTACCTTCTAGGTCTACCTTCTAGAAGGCTCTACCTTCTACCTTCTAGAAGGCTCTTTTTTAGGTAAGCATTGTTGCTACTACTACCCTCTCTCTTTGCTCTTTTTTTCCCCGCACCTCTTACTCCTGTTTCCTCCTATGCTCCCCTCCCTCCTACTTGCATAACCCGTTTTCCAGATCCATCCTGTGCCCTTATTTCCCACCGTTCGTGCTACTGCTGCCTCTTCTCCACCTGCTTGCGCTGGTGCTACCACTGCAAAGCATAGCTCCTACTGAGCTTGTTTGCTTGGGCTCAAGCCATGCGTCTGGTATGACTCATGGTCAGCAGCCTCTGCATAGGCTTTGTTGTCTCTGTTAATCCCTATTGGTCCAGAAGCTGTGCAGGTACCCTAGAGTGGTATCTGAGCTAAAGCAACTGCAATACTTTGTCTTTTGCTGACTAAAGAATCTTGGCTGTGCTCAATGGGCAGTAAAGAAACCAATGGAAGCCTTGGAGAACATGCTTTTAATATTTGGTACCTGAAGAAGTTTGGACCTATGTATTTGCATAGTTTTTTAAATGCTCAAGTGAATGCTGAGGGTTGAAAACCTGGCTTCCTTAGCCTGAACTGGGCAATATATCTTTCCATGAGACAGATGAATGTGCTTAGTTTTAAAGCATTTGCTTGTCAGCTAAGGAAGGAAAGTCAAGAGGTACAGTTTTGGATCCATTTTCTAACTTGAAGTTCGATTTTAATTCAAATACTGTTCTTGATTGAAAATAATCATTTGTATTCCCCAAGAGAGAAATGTGGCACCCACGGTCCTAGATGAATGCAGATTCTTTGGGACTTCTGAACAGACAGGTATTTTACGCCCAAACTCAAATAAGTGAGTGACTTAAAAATAATCTGCATAATTTAAGCACATTTTCATGAAGTGAAGTTAGTTTGTGTATGAGCTCAAAGACAGAATTCTTCCAGGATATATATGGAAAGCAGAGAGGTAGGCTGCCTTGTTTTGAAACCATGAAAAGGATATGCAAAGTGGCAGGGTGATAACTGCACTTGTTTTTTCTTCAGAATTTCTTTTTTGTAAGCAGCTCTGTGCTCAGTTCCTTTCTGAATGCCCTTGCCTTAGCCCTGCCTGCTCTCTTTTGTATTTCAGTCTGCTCATTTGTCCTAGCAGCCATTTGTTTCTGTGATGTATTTTCTTTTTTGGCCTTGAAACTTTAAAGAGAAGGAAGGCAATTTATGTGAAAAATCACTTCAATGATTAATGACTGTTGAGCTTGACTGTTATCACAGCAGTATTAGCTAGAATTTTTTTTTGTTGGAGCGAGAGAACAGGAACCAATTCTCATATCCTTGCTGTCTGAAATTGTAGTTGTGGAGACACAGCAGGTTGGTCTGGAAAAACATAAGTACCTCCATGAAGTCAGAGGAAGAGCTCTATGTATACAAGGTGCAGTTGAAGTGTGCCTTTAATGTTAGCAAGTAATAAACCACTAATTGCCAGTGGGTTCAGATGAAGGACCAGCATCGGGTCCTGTAGCCAGGGGTCCATTGCTGAAAGCTGAGTTTGCAGAAGAAGAAACTCAGATGTTCATTTCCAGCAGGGAACAGGCAGAGTGTAACTGAACCACAGAACATGCTTCTGCTCTTATGATGATGTGAAGTCAGAAGTAGTTGGTGGTATTGTTGCAAGCTGAGGTCAGAATCTAGCCACGTGTATGGTTTTCATGCTTTGATCAAGATACATACCTCCTGTGGTGGCAGTGGGCAGTCTTGAAGGAATTAATTGTTTTAAGTGTAATACCCCAGCAAAAGCTCCTTAAATGTAAGTCAGCTGGGGTGATGTGGTAAATTTCTCTAAGGATTCGGTGTCAGGATTCAGTGCAACAGCTCCTGAATTTTTCCAGTTGTTGCAGTCTTTCCCTGT